ACATTCAGCTCAAGGGCCACACTGGAAAGAGCAGGTGGGGCTCCCAGAAAGCAAAGCATCATGTGTCAAAGCTCAAGAGGCACTGACTCCTACAGCTGCTTACAGGATCGCAGAACGACGGACAAGAACGGGAAGGTCATTAATGCAACCTCCCACCTGATGTTTCAATCTCCTTCACAACCTACCCTCCTCCCAGTGGTTACCTGGACTCTCTTTGACCCCTCAGGAGCTGGGAGCCCAAGGCCTCTTAAGTCGGGCTAGGCTCACCTGCAAGAGTGTATGTGTGACTCTGGTCCTAACTTTTTTTGTTGAGCTTCCACCCCTAATCCGGGTTCAAGTCCTCAGGGCTGGAGAGCAAGCCTAACACTCTTCCACCTGTCCGGCCACCTCCGCAGTAGTTAGGGACAGGTCCCTCACCCCTTTGTTTATTCTTACCACACTAACGTTACAGGACTGCGTTTTCTCTTCCCTTGGTAACAGAAACGAAAAGACTGTACCGGGGTCACAGTGGGTCCTGTGACCTGAACACCGTGAAAGGACAGGGGCCGAAGCGCACTTCTCGCGTATACAGTCTCCAAATCCAGAGAGAGCGCGTAACAGAGCCCAGGCGAAACTCCGACACTGCGGCACGTGGACAGCAACAGCCGCCCCACGCTGTGGGAGCGCCCCCTGCTCCCCGCCCCCGAGTGCGCCCCGGAACCTGGGGGTGGGGCTTGCGTTCCCTCTCGGCTCTGGCGGCTGGGGGGAGCCGGGCGCCTGCGAGGCGAGTGCCAGGCGCCCGGGATCGTAAGCGAGCTGGGCCGCCTGCCCCCTACAGGCAGGTCTCCGTGGACCCGCCTATGGCGTCCAGGCGGCGCCCATTCCTCGCAGGAGCCCGGAGGCGGGCGGGCGGGGACTCACAAGGACTCCAGGTGCTTGAGCTGCTGCAGCTGCTGCGCGTCTTGTCGTCGCCGCTTCTGCTCCCGGCGCCGCTGCAGCTCCTGATCCCGCGGCTCCCGCGGCTCCCTCGGCTCCCGCGGCCGCCGTGTGCCCCCGGCCCCCGAGTCGGCGTGCCCGGGCCGGGACGACATCGTGGCCCGCGCAGCTCAGGCGGCGGCGAGGACGACACTTCCTCCGCGCCGTGCCCGCCGAGTCACTGCAGCGCCCCCTCCCGCCGCCGCCACCACCCCGCCGCCTGAGCCGGGTGTCCCGGCCGAGGCCGCTGGTCCCCGCCTCCCCGCGGCGTGGCCTTCAGTCCAGGCTCGGAGAGCAGTCTCCCGCAGCTGGGCGGGTTGGTGCCGGGACGTCGGAGCGCGCCCCCTGGCGGCGGCCGACAGCTACGGATGCTGGCGGTTGGAAGCCCTTCCCCGCTGCCTGGGGACCTCTAGAGCGTGCGATCCCTGGTTAAAACAGTGTGTGTTGCTTTTAGACAAGGTTTGGGTGCGGAAAATGGAAAAGCTAATATATACTGAGTGCTTTTATGTGCTGGTCATTGAGCTAAGCCCTTAATAGGATCTGATTCAATCTTTAAACACTTAATTTCTGGTACTACCTTTATGTATTACCGTACACTAATATTAGATATGGAGACTGAGGCCCAGAGACAGGATGCAAAAGTGTTCGGTGCTTAGCTAGATTGTATTTTTAAAGCATTATCTGATATGTGGTTATAATAATTGGTTTAGTTTTAACATAATGGAATAAACCACGAAGGAAGTGACAGTAATAGCATAGGGAATATTTCCCTCAAACGTGGCGTTCAATATAATTAATACCTAAAATATCTGGGGAGATGTTTCATATTTATTCCAGGAAATCCGAATAAACACACGCACAAAGGACTATGAACAGACATGCAGTGTCACAGTGCATGGAAACCAGGAAACTGCACGGAAAACTTGGAAACCAGGTCTCCGCAATCCAGCTGTTCATGCAAGTGACCTGAGCCTAGAAATGCCTTGCAAGACATTCTGCATCTAGTCAAGAAGAATGCAGTCTCAGGAAGCTGTTTGAGAAGCAAAGAAAATGTAACCTAACAGAAGGAAGTGGGGCGTGGAGGGCGGTGGCTACAGAATCTACAAAGGGAGAGATCAAGGAAAGCAATGAGGTGGCGTTAGCTCAGCAAATAAACTCTAAGCGCACCTGAGAGTGTCCTGGTGGCTAGAGGAAAATATGCAGCATGTGGAGTAAGGTACAAAATGGACCGAACTTGGTCTCATGTTAAAGAAAACAGCCTCCAAGTCTAGGCACGCCCCCGTGCTGACTCCATTCCCACCCAGCAACATTCGGACAGTGTACCGCGTCAGACCGCACCACGAGGAGTAGGGTGTTCAGTCCGATCTCAGGACTGGGGTCAGGGGAAAGACATCTCTTCTACTATAAGTCAGACACTTGACACTGTGATTTAAAATGTAATATGACTTTGGCCGTGGTGGCAAATTGTACTCTACACGTTGGCTGCCATCGTCTCTCCGATCTCGCTTGTTCTCTGCAAATGAGCTTGACCCTCCTCCCGTGGAGAAGTAAGCCCTGTGCCTCTTTCCTTGAATCCAGACCATCTTTAGTGATATGCTTGTAACCAGTAGACAGGAGTGGAAGGGAGGTCTCCTCTTTGAGTGTGGGTCAGAAAAGGGCATTCGGCCTCCGCTTGGTTCTTTTGAAATGTTTCCTCCTGAAGCCTTCAGAGAGGTTCCACTGCCCTGGAGGCCACTATGCTGGGAGGAGGCCCCAACTAACTCCTGGGGAGAGATCCTGTGACCTGAAAAACACACAATAATAAAGAACAAACAAAAACAACAACCACGACAACAAAAGAACAAAACAAAGAGGCTTTGAGACTCAACAGACAGAGGGATGTCAGGGCAGGCCCCACTGCCTGACACGGTGCACGCCAGAGATGAATCTAAGTGGCTCCCATCAAACAGGCTGGGCTGGAACAGCCCTGCCCCTCCTAGGGCGGCTTTGTTGCTGGCCAAGATATGCCCCTAACATAAAAGAAAAGAAGAAAAACATAAAAAGAAAAAATACAAAACAGTCTTCAACCACAACCAGGGACCCTATAGCAAGCAAGCAAAAAAGCTGAAAACTTCAGGATATACTTCTACACAGAAACTAATTGAGTTCTTCACACTTGCAACTGGGTCTTAACTGATTCAAATATTTGCTTAACACAATGATTTTATGTCTTAGCAGAAAGACCCAGGGATTGGTAATTCCATTTTAGCAATTATTTTAGTCAAGACTCTTGAAAATCAAAAACCAAAATCCAAATCAAACTGTTTTTTTAAAAATGCATTTATTGTCTCATATATTTGAGATGTCACGGGGTAGAGCTTCAGGAATGGCTGGATCTAGGTGCTGAAATGTTAGAGTCAGCAATTTCTCTCTCAGCTTCACTTTCTTTTGTATTGCCTCATTCTGATGGAGGTTCTCCCATTGTGGGGGCAAAGGTGGCAACAACTTAGCAGCCCCAGCTGGTAGAAACTTTTCTCAGTTCCATGTATTACACTCACTGGCTTAGCAAGGGTCCTGTAGTTGTCATGGAAACAATCACTGTAGTCAGGGAGAAACAGTACTCCGTCTAGCCAAGCCTATGCCATGTGCCCACCCTAATTCCCAGGGGTGGGATCGACTTTACCCAAGCCATATAGACTAACAGCATTAACAGGATGAATTATATTAGTAGGCTTTCTATTTCAATAGAATAAGCTCTAATAGGAACAGTGAACACTTCTTTAGTGCTACATGAAGTTTCTCATTGGATTCTGGGATTGAATAAGGTCTGTAGTAATCGTACAGTGATCATGTTTTATCTTCATCTTGCAGGGGAAACTTCCCTTGCTGAAGGTCATTTAGGTAGTCCGTATATGATATGTATCATTCCTTCGATAAATTGTTGAACTCAGCTTGCTCATGTTTTATTTAGTTTTTCTGCATTTCTACTTATACATGAGATTGGTGCCCAGTTTCTCTCTCTCTCTCACTGTCATTGCCACATTTCAGTATCAGGTCTGTTTGCATCTGCCGACCCTGAGAAAGAAGATACCTACTAAGTAGGGCTCCTGGTGGCTAGCTGAGCTGGAATTTGAAAAACAGAGCCTAGCAGCCATTCCTACCCAGGGGCCTCTCATGCAAACTGAACTTCAGGGAGAAGCCTGAACTGGATGGGTTGCCTGCCTCGTGTTCCTGTCCTCCGAGCCAGGTCCCGGGCAGAGCGAAGTGGAGTGTGGCACAGTGGAGAGGACCAGAGCAGAGCTGTCTGCCTGGAGAGGGGCCTCACTCAGGGCCAGGCCCGGGGAGGTGTCTCACAACTGTGCTCTTCATAATTGAGCTGTAATACTCTTGAGCTGTTCCACAGCTGCGCTGTCCTCACGGCCACGCTGTATTTCTTAAGCTAAATGCGCCGAACGACTCCAATGATTTTCTTGGGGCATCTGAGTCTATTGTGAAGTCACGTGTGTGAGAGCGTGTGGGATGTTTGCTGATAAGTCAGCTGGCCGTCCGGCTAGATGGCTTGGGGGACACTCACAACCAGCCATTTAAAACTTTCCTCAGTGCGACCGTGAAGGCGGGGGTCTGGCAGCACAGGCCCCCCTCCCCCTTTCTAAAGCATTAAAAGAAATTCCTGACAAAAAGTCCTGAAGAGTGGTTTCGGTCTTTTTCAGTGTAGAATCCATCCTTGTAACTAAGTTAAAAAAAAAAAATCTAAGTTTCTCTCCCTCCCCAAAGCAGCAAGGGGTAACTGGATCCACAGCCACGTAGGGGCCTCTCCTGTTTCTAAATCCGGAGTCTCCAGGGACAGGCGGAGACCAGCGGGTCTGCTTAGGCGGTAAATGCTTTTCTCTCCCAACTTTGGGCCAATGCCCAGTCCCGAGGAGTGCACGATTTCTCCCGCGGGGACGGGTTCCCTCAGTGGCCGCCAGCCCTCTTCCCAGGGCGGGCCAGCGGGTCGGAGGGCTGGGCCAGGCGGCGGCGCAGGGCGCAGCCGGCCCCGCCCGCCCCGCGCAGGGCCGCAGCTCCTCCCCTCGCTCGGATGTGGCCGGGGGCGGGGGACCAGGGCGAGGGGGTGGTGGCTGTGGTCCGGGGAGGGCCGGGAGTCTTTTCCACGTTTGCAAACGCAGCTGCTTCCAGGCCCGACCCGCGCACCGCCCGAGCTCCGCGTGCCCTCGCCCGCTCCTTTCCCCGCAGCCCCCGATGGCGTTCAGGGCCCGGGGCTGGCGGCCCCCACCGCCGCCGCTGCTCTTGCTGCTGCTCTGGGTGACCGGGCAGGCAGCGCCCGTCGCCGGCCTGGGCCTGGGCTCCGACACGGAGCTGCAGATCGAACAGCGCTTCGTGCCTGACGAATGCCCGCGCACCGCGCGAAGCGGTGACTTCGTGCGCTACCACTACGTGGGAACGTTCCCCGACGGTCAGAAGTTCGACTCCAGGTACCGCGCCCCGAGCGCCCCCGGGGCTCTCCCGCTTCCCGCTCTCCGGGCAGGCCTTTCCCTCCCGACGGACCTCCCCCAGCTCCGCCCCGCGCCTCCCGCGCGCCTCCCTCTCCCTCCCCCCACTCGGGCGCTCTCGGACCCTAAACCCCCTACGCTGCGTGGAGAGCCTCCCCGCCCTCGTGGTCCCAGGGTCCTCTCACCCAGGACTGGAATCTTGGAGAAGACCTTGCGCGGCGCAGTTGGGGCGAGTCACGCCCTCCCTCTGCGCCCTGCTCCTTTACGTACGCGAAATCTACGTGGGACGGCCGCTCCGCGGGTCGCCCCGTGGGGTCCACGTGGATGTGCGCCTGCCGCCCCTTCCCGGTTCCTTCTCGCAGGCACCTTCCCCACACATGATGCGCGGCCGTTTATGGAGATATCACAACGTGCCAGGGTAGTTCTAAGTGCTTTCCATATAAGAAACTCATTTAGTTCTTACAACTTGAGGACACTGAGTCTAGGAAACTCGTTTAAGTGGAGTCGGGTTGAAACCCGGACAATCCAAGTCCAGAGTCTGTGCGGCTACCACTACCTCCCTCTGTCTGGCCTTAGAAAACCTCCCTTAGGCGGGAGGTAGTCCCGAGCAGTCTCTGAGCTTTGCTGCGGGCCCTGCGCCGTGCCCACGGTTCCTTCCCTTAACCCAAGATCACAGCCGCTCTGCCTCACTTCACTCCAGTGTCGCTTCCTGAGTTAACAACCCCTTCGGCTCCAGCTCCAGGCCGTCCGCCCCGAGACTTTGTCACCACCAGCCCAGGTGCGGGCCGTCTGAGTGAACCGACGGAGTAGGCTCAGAGGACTGTTGAGCATCTGCTCTGCGCCCTAGGCTGGGCTAGGCTCCTTAATGAAGTTATCTTTTAAAAAATGCTCTTATCACCCCAGTCGGTGTGGCCAGTTGGTTGGGGCGTCCTCCCGTACACCAAAAGCTCTCGGGTTCAATTCCCCATCGGACACATATGCAGGTTCGATCCCCAGTCGAGGCCTCTACAACAGGGCAGCCAATCGGTGTTTCTCTCTCTCCCCCTCCCTTTCTCTCTCCCTAAGAGCAATGAAAAAATGTCGAGTGAGGATTTTTAAAAAATGCCCTCCTTTTGCCTTTTGTGAAATGACAGTGTGTGGATCTATAAAAGCCGTTTAGCCTGCTATGGGGCACACAGCCAGTGCTTAGAAATGCTCGTTTTTACTATTGCTTCAATCACTTCTTTCTTTGGAGATATAATTCACATGCTATAATCGGCCCATTTACGGTGTGCAATTCAGTGGTTTTCAGTGTGGTGGCAGAGCTGTGCAATCACCACAACTCTCTAATTCCAGAGCATTCTCATCACTCCAAGGAAGAAAAGCTGGACCCCTTAGCCACCACTCAGTCCCTTCCCCGCCAGCTGTAGGCAGCCATTCACTTACTCCTCGTCTCTTACTGGCCTGGTTTCTGGCTTCTTTCGCTTCATGTCTTCAAGGTCTGTCCATGCTCTAGCCTGTATACTCCATTCATTTGTATGGGTGTCTATTTCATTATAAGGCTGTACCCCATTTTGCTTATCCATCAGTTGGTGGGCACTTGGGTTGATAACCCTCTTTGGCTGTTACGAATAGTGATGTGTGAACATTTATGCACAAGGTTTTGTGTGGATGTACGTTTTCATTTCTTTTGGACATATGCCCAGGAGTGCAATTGCTGGGTCCTTATGGTGACCATATTTAACTTTCTGAAGAATTGCCAGACTGTCTTCCGATGCGGCTGTCCCATTTTACGTTCCCGCCAGCCGTGCACGAGGGTTCCCATTTCTCCGCATTCTCCCAACGCCTGCAATTGTCAGTGTCTTTACTTACGGCCGTCCTAGGTGGGTGTGAAGTGGAATCTCACTGTGGTTTTAAGTGGCATTTCCCTCACGGTTGCTGATGCTGAGCATGTTTTCACGTGTTTATTGACCATATGTGTGTCTTCTTTCTTTTGCTTCTTCAGTTAGAAATAGGGAGGAGTTTCCTGCTCGTGCTGATGGTATTTAGGAACGCCCACTGGGACCCGTCGTCTGGCACTTTCTACCCTGCAGGCACAGCTGCCCCTCTGGGACAGTGTGGGGCAGCGGAGAGAATGCAGAGCAGCGACCATCCATTCAGCAAACGTGTATGCGGTGTCTGCCCCTGCCACTGATAGTTCAGGCAGTTACCTGGTGGGATAAGTACAGAAAAAATAATAGCACACTCTGCTTCTCACATAGAGCTCACATACAGTCTTTATCACATGCCTTTACTGATAATTCATTGGATCTCAGATAAGTTCATTTAACCTTGTAAGACAGTGAGGTAGATATCTCATGACGAAAGAAGAAACTGAGGTTCAGAAAGTTCAAGTAATTTGCCCATGGCAGCCAGCTGCCGAGTGGTGGAGCGGGGCTTTGAACCGAGGCGTTTCAGTGCCGGAGTGTATGGTCGACCACATCCACGATGGAAGACAAGCTCGGAGCTGTGGAAGCACACAGAGGGCCTAACTAACTGTGTGTGGGCCGCGGTCGGGGCATGGGGTCAGGATGAAGTCTCGGAATGGCAGGGATAAGCGCTGAGGGGATTACAGTTTACAGGGAGATGCGGAGGGGTGCGGGTTGCAGGCAGCAAGGACGTGGCTGGTGGGGGGAGACGCATAGTAGAGGCCTGGAGGTGGGGGCATCGTGTAGGGGGACAGTCGGGCTCTTCAGTGTGGCCTGAGCTTGGAGTGGGGACATGGCAGTGACCGGGGGCAATAAAAGGACCAGGGAGAGGAGGCCGGGGAGGAAGGCTGGGCCAGCTTTAGAGGGATGTTGCCTGCTTGTGTATATGGAGTTTGGACTTGGTCTAAGGACGACGGAAAACCCTTGAAGAATTTTAATCCGGGGAGTGAGGGACCAGACTTGTGTTTTACAAAGGTCCCTGTGGCTGCAGTGTGGACAGTGGAGGGGAAGCGGCAGGGCACACAGTAGGTCCTTCAGTAATGTGAGTTTTTCTCTAGCACCCCCACTCCTTGGGGAATTGATGAAGTACTAGGGCATGGCTTTGCCATTCCTGCTCAAAGGTCTCGAGCGAGGGGAACTCGAAGGTGTTTGGGCTTTGGCTGCAGATTGGCAGACTTTGCCGGGAAGGAAACAATGGCTGTCACCCTGTCCAGAGTCATAAACCTCAGAGGGCCTTTCTTTCCGCGGAGCTTTCTTCCTGCCTCTCTGCCTGGTGCTTGGGAGCAGTTGGTATCGTTTCAGCGGCTGGGCATTTGCAGTTGCCAGGAGGTCCAGCCCTTCAGCCCTTGGCCAGTGGCTCGGACATGGCTTGGTTTCATTCGGAGCTGCTGTGGGCTCTTGAGCATGCCCCCGTGGCACCCAGGGAGGAGAGGCCAGCTCTTGCTCTTGCGCTCCAGGTCTTGGAGCACCTTGTCCACCACTCCTGTCCTGAGCCAGCTGTTAGGATTTTTATAGCACTCCTAGCGCCACCCCCTAGAAGGGAGCGATCCCTTTGTTTGCTCTGATATCCTCCTAGGGACTGATGCTTAATGCGTTCCTATTATCTTCAGCAGGCAAACTAGCATTTGCCCAGTTCACCCCCGGCCTCCAGGCCTCTCTGCAGGTCCTTACAGTCCAGACACTCAATAAACGTTACTGGGGGCATACTGTGTGCCCCATTATGGGTGGGGCATGCTCTAACACAGCGGAGTTCAAACTGTGCATGTATCAGAATGCCCTGGGGAGCTGCACAGTTCCTACTTCAGTGGGTCTGGGGGAGACCTGAGAAACTGCACTCCTAGCAGGTTTCCAGGTGGTGCTGACTCTGCTGGGCTGAGGACCACACTTGGAGAACCACACAGGCTCACATTTACTTACTTATTTATTTTTTTTCCTCACCTGAGGACATTTTTTTTTTTCATTGCTTTCAGAGAGAGAGAGGGAGGGAGAGAGAGAGACATCGGTGCAAAAGAGAAGCAGTGATTGGTTGCCTCCCGTACATGCCTGGACTGGGAGTTGAACCCGCCACCTAGGTATGTGCCCTGACTGGGAATCGAACCCGCAGCCCTTCAGTTACGGGATGACGCTCCAACCAACTGAGCCATACCAACCAGGGCTCATAGACTCATTAACAGAGGTCAACTCTATTTTATATATTCATTCATTCATTTATTTATTTGTTCATTCAGCAAGTATTTACTGAACATCTACTGTTGTAGATGCTGGGATGTAGCAGAGAATAAGACGGGTAGAAATCCCTGTCCTTCAGGGAAACTGCTCTGTATGATGATGCTACAGTGGTGGCTGTGTGTCATAGCTTGGTCCACACCTGTGGGATGCACAACCCGAGAGTGAACCCTCGTGGAAACCGCAGACGTGGGGTGGCGGTGCTGGGTCAGTGTAGGTCACCATGACGAATGGACCGCTGAGGTGTGTGATGGCGATCTCGGGGCGAGCGGAGCTCGTGGAGGAGCAGGGGCTTTGTGGCAGGTCTCCGTACCTTCTCCATTTTGCCGTGAACCTAAAACTTCTTTAAAAAATGAAGTCTGTCTGAAATAAAACTGCTGCCCTCGAGTTGGGGAGGGCAGGAGACACACACCCGTTCCAGTTGGCTTCAGCAGAAAGGGAGGGAATTTTTGGATGGATCTCTGATTCCTCCCAAGGGTGCAGAGTCATGAAGCCAGGTGACCTTCTGCATGTCCCTGAGGGGTTGCAGAGGGGCTTCCTTCTTCCCCTCCCTGAAAGGCGAGCTCCTACAGACTTCCATACCACACCCGCGGCCTCTTGGGTCTAGCGATGCTAACCGGAATCTGATTCAGGTCCACACTCCCAGGAGAGCATCTGATTGGTCCTGTCTGGGTCAGGGGCCCACCCCGGTGGGTGGCAAGGGAAGGGGTGGTAAGGCTCGCCGCGTCTGCGGGCCTGGTTCCCAGAGAGGAGCCAGTGGGCAGGGTAGCACCCTGGATGGTACGTTTTAAGTGTTCTCAGCACAATAAAGTAAGAAAATGGTAATTATGTGACATGATGGATATGTTAATTAGCTTGATGTGGCAATAATCTTATGCTGTATGTAGCATATGTTTTGATCTACGTAGATCAAAACATCCAATCGTACATACAATTATTTGTCAATTATATCTCAGTATCAAATTATACCTCAGTGAAAAGGGGGGAAGTAATGTATCCAGTTTTGTTTTTTTGTTTTTTTTTTTGTCTAGAACTCGCATTGAGAACGAGCTGACTTTTCCTTCAGTTCTCACGGCAGGGCAGTTTTCTCCCCGCTGTGTGATGGCTGTTCTTCTGTTGTTTCTGGATCTGCGATCAGAATCATCTCAGCAACACGTACTATACCTGTATATCAGTTTTGCTGAAAGTTTAAAAGTTAGTTTTGAAGAGTAATACATGTGGTAATTAAAAACCAGTTAAGTAATTCCACAAAGCTTAAAATTATAGTCGCCAAGCTGCTAGGAGTGGGGAAAGGGCTCCGGGGTGGGGTGTCGCTGATCTGAACGCAGACTCGCCAGCTCCAGCTCCTGGCTTCCTTCTGCCCTGACCCCTTCCAGCCCGCCGGCTCTGCCCGACACGCAAAGGGTGCTTGGCCACGCCCCCTTTGCGTGCACGAGATTCTGTGTCTTCCCTTGTAGGTCAGTCCCTGCTGCTCCGTTCCCTTTCCACCCTCCAAAATGTTGTTGCCGTCTCTTCACAGCAACGGTCTCGTTTCCGGTGTTCTGAGTCCTTGTTTCAAAAGAGGAGCTTAGGAGCTCGGGGAGGAATGGGCTGTGGGGGCCCGAGGGAGGGAATGTGTTCAGTTTGCCATATGTTCTTCGAAAGGTTCGTCCTCATTGCAGATTGCACTTAGAAATAGAGCCACGGTATTTATGCCTTAAGAGTACAGCTCAGGGGTAGTCGTTTGTCCTGAGGACCACGCTGCAAGGTGATGTGTGCACCCTCGGGTGCCCAACCTGCCTGCCGCAGGCCGTGTGTGGCTCAAGGTGGTTGTGAATGTGCCCCAACACAAAATCGTAAATTTACTTAAAACATGATGAGATTTTTTGTGTGTGTGTGATTATGTGTCTCGGTGTATTTAATGTGTGGCCCAAGACAACTCTTGTTCTTCCAGTGTGGCCCAGAGATGCCAAAAGGTAGGACACCCCTGGGTGAGGCGAATAGGATGGTTTTACATGACGTCTCCAGCCTTAGTGGGTTTAGGGCTGCTCTTCTTGAAGAGCGCGACTGGAGGGTTACCACAGCCACCTCCCAGCATCCTGTGGGTCAGGGGAGGGTAGAAGTGTCAGGGGAAGGATGGAAGGGTCTTTAGCAGAGAATGAGCAGGAGAGAAAGAGAAGCTGGTGGAGAGGAGAAGGGACTATTGGAGGTAATGGATGATTTCCATTGGCCTTTCCAGGCCCACTTCGCCCTGTCCAGTGATATAAGAGGTTTGTTTTAGTGACCCCCTTGTCATCAGGCTTCTGATTGGGTTCAGCCAATGGGGCATCAGCAGCAGAAGAGAGGGAGGGAGGGAGGTGTGCAGATGGAGATGTTTATCCCCAGGCTCCCTGTCTGCAGAGTCGATGTGGACCGTGCCCCTAGACCAGAGGTCCTGCCTTAGCTTCTGTCTGGTGCCCCGAGGTACCCTCTCTGTCCCTGGATCCTTCCGGCCCGCCTGTGACAACAGCACCCCCTACTTGTCCTCAGAGGTACTGAATGCCCCTGTCTTTTCTCTGCACCCTGTGCGCACACACACTTTTGCACACAGCCTCTTCTATAACCCTTTCTTGGAACTGCCTAGCTTGGGCATATCACCTGTTTCCTGCAGCGCCTGACCCGGGATGTCTGCAAAGGGTGTCAGTCCCTCCGCCAGATACTGGGACAGGTTGTGTAACTGCTCCTTCCCGAGCTTCCTTTTCATGACCGGCTCTGGACGGGACGCTGCGCGTGAACGCATGCCAGGTGTAGTGATCAACACACATTTGCCACATTTGCTCAGAACGACTTTATTTTTCCAGATGGTCAGAGTTTTCAGCAGTAGGGAAGACCGGTCTTGCATTGTTAGTTTCTCACGCATGTGGATTACACGTTTTCTTACAGAAGGGTGCTTTTTGATTTTAGCACTTTGCTCAGAGAGGCATCAGGTGAAGAAATAGTACTGCAAAGCACCAGCGGTTCTTTGGGTTTTTTTGTTTTTGTTTTTCTTTTAAGATTTTATTTGTTTTTTAGAGAGAGGGGAAGGGAGGGAGAAAGGGAGAGAACCATTGATCAGTTGCCTCTCGCGTGCCCCCTACTGGGGACCTGGCCCGTAACTTAGGTATGTGCCCTGACTGGGAATCGAACCTTCGATCTTTCAGTTTGCAGGCTGGCACTCAATCCACTGAGCCATACCAGCCAGGGCAGCAGCAGCAGTTCTTACTAATCATCTAGGGAGGCGCTGTGCCTGGAGGGTAAGAATTGAACAGTCCTGGGTTCTAGCTTTTCTCCCCACTTGGCTAACTGTGTGAATGTGGGAGATTTTTCACCTCTGAGGAGCCTGAGTATCAGCACCCACCCGAAAGTGTTGTATGAGGAAGTGTATGGAAAAGTTAGTTTGCATGCCCTGGCTGGTGTAGCTCAGTGGATTGAACACAGGCTGTGAACCAAAGCATCGCAGGTTCGATTCCCAGCCAGGGCACATGCCTGGGTTGCAGGCCATGGCCCCCAGCAACCGCACATTGATGTTTCTCTCTCTCTCTCTCTCTCTCTCTCTCCCCCTCCCTTCCCTCTCTAAAAATAAATAAATAAATCTTAAAAAAAAAAGAAAAGTTAGTTTGCCACTGTGCCTGACATCATAAACACTCTCTAAGTAGTAGTTACTATTCAGGTGCCGTGGATGAAAACAGTTATAAAGTAATTTTCAGCCTGCACATTGGTGCTGTTTGCACATGTTCTGTGTCCAGAGAGTCTCTGAAGCTCTGAGTTCTGGTCCGTTATTAACACAAACCCGCCAGTTTGATGTTTGTCCAGGGCATGGCGGCCGGGCCACGTGAAATCCAAGAGCAGCCATTCGAGGGGGCGGGTGTCTGTGCTCCGGAGGTTGAGGGTGGAGGTGTAAAGCCAGCTAGGGTACAAAGCTGACCATGTTCTTTTGTCCTCTGGCCTGTTGGCCTGAACTTGGAATCTTGCTTTCTGTTCACTGCCCTTGGAGAAAGGAAGGCTATTAAAATGGGCCGTAAAACTGGGAGGACAAAGGGAAGTGGGGTGGGGGGGGGGAGGGGGGGTTGGTGTGCGGAAGCTGCCCTGGCTGGTCCTGAGGGAGACTGCGGTGTTTTCCTGAGCTTCTTTTTTTTATAGAGGAAATGAATAAAGGGTGGATAACCAAACAAAAGGCAGTGCATCCTAATGAGGTAAATTCCAACATTTTCGTACACAGCTGTTACATGATCATTTTGACAATATAGAGAGACTGAAAGAGAAAACAAATTAAGTCACCTAAAATCTACCCATAGATTATCACTGATAATATTTTCATGTATCACCTCGTGGATTTTTTCATGTGCATCTATCTAAATAAATTCAAAGTGGGATTATTTTCCATCGTGGCTGTGTAACCCACACTTTCTTCTTTGCCAGTGAATAAAAATGTGTGTTCTTTCAAATTTTTCATTGGTGTGTGATTGGGATATAGCATATCAGTTTTGGGTGTACAACACAGGGATCTGATGTTTGTATGGACTGCAGAATGGTCACCGTGGTAAGTGCAGGTAACATCTGTCACCAGACATGGTTACAAAAATGTTTTTCTTGTGATGGGAGTGTTTAAGATCTACTCTCTTGGCCCCTTACAAATGTGAAATACATGCACATTACTAACTGTAGACCTCAGGCTGTGTATCACATCCCCGTAACAGAAGTCTGTTATTTTTAAATGGCCATACACCCTTCATTGTGTGTCCTTGCTTTAAATGCAGCCAGCGCCGTACCCTTGACCTTGAAAGTCATCTCCAGGGTTTCGTTGTTACGCACCAAGCCCTGCCGGCGTGCTCTGCAGCACAGTGTCTGAAACTCTGGGGGTGTCTCTGCCAGATTGTTTTTCGTAGCCAAAGTCTACGCCTTGCTCTTCTTCCACACCCCCCCCCGAAGCACCCAGCGGTCTCCTCTTAGGCTAACCCTGGTTGTGTGCTGACTTCGACACTGCAGAGGGTGAGAGCAGGAGTCATAGTCGTGAGTCCGTGGTTTACCTTCCAACCTAATGGCCTCAGCAGTCAGCCTTTAAACCCCATGAACTACTGATTTCGAGACTACATCGGACTTTCTCTTACCTACAATAGTTATATAACATTGGCATGACCCTTAGGTGTTCAGAGCACTTTTCATGTTATTATGTCATACGGATCTGGGGGTGGCTATAATTAGTTAGTCCTGGTTTTTTGTTTGTTTGTTTGCTTTTTGCAGTGGAAGAAACAGGCTAAGAGAGTCTGCGTACCCTTTATGCCTCCCCATGCTGCCGCCTCTTGTTAGACTCACTGACTTAAAAGAAAGGAACTGTATCTTAACCTGGGCCTTAGTGTGTAGGGTGTTGCTTTTAGGGACCGATCACACAGCAATGGCGTAAACTGTATTTTTCGTAGAATATTGGGAGCTGTTTTGCAAAATAAACTTAATATATATTTGCGGGGGGACGGGAGCGTCGTGCCGATGCTCTCTAACTAGATCTTCGGGCAGCATTCACAGCAACTTAAAAATTCCGCCCTGCAAGAACTCTTCCTGGGCCTGGAGGCCCCCTGCCGGCCGTGTGCCTCGAAGGGCCCTTGCTCTGGCCATGGGTGCATTTTCCGAGGGTGGTTTCACTGAGGGAAGGGTTAGTGACCCTTTTCTTTCTCTCTCTCCCCCTTTCGGGCCATCAGCTATGACAGAGACTCCACGTTCAACGTGTTCGTGGGGAAAGGACAGCTGATCGCGGGGATGGACCAAGCCCTGGTGGGCATGTGCGTGAACGAGAGGCGCTTTGTGAAGATCCCCCCGAGGCTGGCTTACGGCAGTGAAGGCGTCTGTAAGTTTCCGTTCCGTGCTCGTAATCACGTGTGCAGAAGCCACCAGAACATTCGCAGGCTGTTTGGTCAGGCCGACCAGAGAATCTTTGGAAGCTCCAGGTTGGGAAATAGGCAGTGAACACACACAGAGCTAAAAGTTCTCTCTGTCTTGCTTAGATTTATTTCTTCTAGCTACGAAAGAAGGTGGTATTGACACAGGGGTAGTGAATGTTACCCTTGTTGAGAGAAAAATTTTGTTTTTTCTTCTTTCCTTCGGTTTCATTTAGTGGCAGGGGGGCGGGGGCGGGGAGTGTGGCTCATGCTGGACTTGGATGCCAGCGTCTTCTCGAGCCCTTGGCAGGACCCTAGGTGTTTACGTGGCCCAGAAGGCAGCAGCTTCTCAGCGTGAGCTTTCTTTATTCCTAGCGGGTGTGATCCCCCCCAACTCAGTGCTGCATTTCGATGTGCTTCTGATGGACATTTGGAACTCCGAAGATCAGGTGCAGGTCCACACTTACTTCAAGCCCCCGAGTTGCCCCCGGACCATCCAGGTGTCTGATTTTGTGAGGTACCACTACAACGGGACGTTCTTGGACGGGACGCTGTTCGACTCGAGGTAAGTCCCGCACCCACGCTGCTCTCCGTGAAACGCCCCCGAGCTCCTCCGTCTTGCCTGCTTTTCACGCCCCCAGAGAAACCTGAACACAGACCCTTCCCAGCTTTTGCCAGCACCGACTTCTCCCCTTGAGGCTTTTGGGTAATACTTGGTGCTCCGCAGTACCAGAGCCAAAATTGTAATACGTCTTGGAGACACCTCAGAGTGATGTCTATCTAAATTAACAGTATTTTCAGGTCTCATGAAATGAAAGGCCCTATTACCCAGTCATTCAGGCACTAGTGGTTCATGCTTGCAGTGTTTCCGTGGAAGGAGGAGGGTGAAGGCAGGAGGCACATGAAGTGATGGAGAAGGGTGGGTGTAAGGTGCCAAGCTGGGCACAGGGAACCCTTTCCTCTATTCTGGTGTATTTGGTTAGACAGAGGAACGGGCCTATTTTTGTGAATCGCTGTGGCTTCATTACAGGCTTTTATAAATTTGAGGACATCTGCCCCGAGATTGGGAGCAGAGATCCACGGAGGCTGGTCTCCGGGGCCGGGGGTGGGTCCTTCGTGAACCGAGATGTGGGTGAGAAACACCCTATGGGGAGTGAGCGGCGAACGTCCTCATGGTATGGGGCTTCCCCGTTTCTCGTTGGTTTTCAGTCATAATCGCATGAAAACATACGACACGTATGTGGGAATCGGCTGGCTGATCCCTGGAATGGACAAAGGGCTGCTGGGCATGTGTGTGGGGGAGAAGCGCCTCATCACCATCCCACCTTTCCTGGCCTACGGAGAAGACGGAGACGGTGAGTCCGTCTCGCCCTTCAAGCCGCGCCCGGCGGTCTCTGTTTTAATTGCTGAAATGAATTCAACTTGCTCTGTGAAATCCCCAGACCTTTCAGTCTGGATCAGCAGTTTTCAGCCGCCAGAATTTTTGAAACAGGCAATAAATGCTTGGCCATTCAGTCAAGGGGCACTGACCTCTTTTCCCTTAGACTGTCAAATAAAAAAAAGTGACAACGGCCAACATAGCAGTAGCTGTCCGGTGTGAACGCCCTGTCTTGAACCATAAATATGGGTCATGTAGTTGAGTTGCATCTTGTGGGTTGTGTTGCATAATAAGGTTACGTCTGGTTCATTCTTGGTACCAGCGATCCTTATGGACAAGTATAGGCACATGATTTTTTAAAAAAAGTCACTTTGGAGCAAAAAGGTAGGTGATTGCTATTATTATTTTTTGTAAGTCAATCAAAATTATACATTTTTTTCATATTGGTAAAAAATATATTTTTTGGTGGGCCGCAGAGGTTTACTCATCAGTTGAGGTGTGCCACAAGACGAAAAAGGCTGAAAATCACTGGGCAGACTTGCGCTGTCCAGCACGGCAGCCGTTAGGTCCATCCGTGTAGCCGTTTACGCTACCCAGTGCTCCTGTGCTGGGCGGGGCGGACACTGAGCACTTCCCCAGGGCGAAGGCCTGTGGGGGACAGTCTGGGTCACCTGCTACCTGATGACTGCGGGACGGCCACTCCACTTGTTCACGGTCACTGGCGTTCACCGTCTGCCGCTGCCTCGTCAGCTATAACCTTGGGCATCAGGCTCTCTGGCCCGTTTTCCCCATCTGTGAAGTATTTGAACTAGACGGTGTGGAGATTGTAGACCTCAAAGTAGAAGTTTAGCATTGGATGCCAGAATTGCCACTTTTTCCCCAGATTTGTACCTCCACTTCCAGTATGATGAGTTTCACCTGGGATATTAACTCCGTGGGGAGATGCAAAGATATTTACTGTTAGAAAAAAATTAAAAACATAGACTGTTGGCATAAATGGAATTACTCAGTTACTCGTATTTTGAATTTCAGGCGCAGTTAGTTGTATTGATAGGCTGATAGAACAAGAGACACCTAGGCCTTTGAACAAGCAGATACGTATGTAGTTAAGGAGAGAGATGAGGGGGTGGGCAGGGCAGGAGCGAGTGGTGGGGGGCAAAGGGGACAACTGTCATTGAACGGCAATAAAAGAAAGAGTAGGAATGAAAACCTGATGCTGTTCAGGAATTCTGCTGACAGTGCTACCCAACTTATAATAACCCCCTAATACAATGTTTTCCAAGATACCGGGCTGGAGGGAGGAGAGGGGAACTTGAGTGGGTGGGGCTCAGCCTTCCCCCCCTCCCTCCACTTTTATATATTCACACGCTGGGGACCTGCAGATGGGGCCTTTAAGAAATGGGGTGGGGGGTGGGGGAGTTCCTTGCTGCAAGAAGAGTTTGAGAACGATTTCCGTAAAGATGTCTTACTTCTCCCTTTCCCAAGACATGTCGTTATTCTTGCCAGTGCTCCAGTGGTCTCCTCCTTGCCCAGTGGCCATGCATTCGCCCGGGTACCCGGATTCTTTGGACGTCGTCCACACGCACCCGGCATATATGATAAAACTAGATGCCTAGCCCACTATGAGGAATATTACCTACTTATTTTAAAGAATTAATAATTTAAATATTTAAAATACATAGTGTATTTAACATAGTTACTTCTTAAATACTTTCTACTTTAATACTGTACGGAGCTATCCAGGTATCCCTTTGCATAAGTGAATTGTATGGTATGGGAATTATAACTCAATAAAGTTGTTAAGAAAAAAAACCCCAAATAGTCAATTAGTACACAATAATGCCAGAAACATGTAAACCCTGGGGTGACTTTCAAGGTTTTCTTTTTTTTCCTCTTAAGTTAAAAGGTAGAAAAGGGAAGCCTGGTGGAAAGGATGGTGTGATGGGAGCAACAGGTGTTTAAATCTATACGGAGGAAACGAAGATGCAGGAAGGTGGGAAGGACGAATATTGGGCCGCACAGCCTCCCCCGTGCACGCCCACGTTGCAGGGACAGACAGCGCATTCCAGAGGCTGACTCAGCAGCCTGGTGGCGCGGATTTCATCCTCTTGGCCCTCCCCACCCCTCCTGAGGGGGGCAGATAGCCAGCCGGAAGAGCACAGGCCTGGCTTGCCACGTGGTTCACGTGCCCAGGGCCACTCCTTCGCATGGTATAACAAGGGCGAGGAAGAGGGTTGAGTCAGTGGTTCATCCTTTAACTTCCTCGTATCCCCAAGTACTGGATTTAGAGTTATTTACTGGCTGATGCTGATCTTTGCGGGAAGAGCTAGTGCCCAATAATCTCGCCTTGTGAATATTGTCCCGTGATATTCAATGTATCTTTCCCGTTGGAAAGATCTGAAAGAGGCAGTGCCATCCAGCAGTGAGATAGAAATGATTTGAGGACTATTTCTATTTTAGATTACGGGTGCCATTTTTCCCTCCTACCTTGGCTAACTTTACTTTTATTTATATCTTGTTTTTGGAGGCATTTAGAGGATTGAATTTTGCATATTATCTCAAAAAATTGGCTGTGGCTTCCAGAGAACACATCTAGGTAGTGTTCCCCAGGACCAGACCTGAGCTTTGGAATTTGTGCTTTTCGATAGCTGTGATTTGCGTTTGTACACAGACTAGGGTTTGCATGTGTTGCACGTGGGTGCACCCACAGAGCCTCGATTTGCCAGCACAAGCATAGAAAACAGGGCCACAGTGTTACTGGGGACTGGCCTGGAGGGGGCCTGCCTCGGGCCAGCCTGCAGTGTGTGGGTTCTTGACTTTGTGTAGGGCATATTTCACAATGCGAGCCCAGGTGACTTTGCGAGCACATTTATTACGGCTGGGGGGCGTGAAACAAAGGAAAGGCTTAGGGCTGAAGAAGTAACAGGAGAGAGCCTAGGCAGTGGTCTGCTTTGGCCCCCTAGAGAAGGTAGAGTCAGGAGTGAAGGTCGCAGAGAGAGAAGTCAGCCAAGGCGGGGCTGCTGGTAGCTAACCGTGGAGTCAGAGGGACAGGGGGCTCTGGAGACAGGACTGGGGAGTAAGCCTGGTCGAACTGCCGCTGCCCACTGCTCCCTTGGCTGCAAGCCTCCTCGGGACCCTCAGAGTTTGGGAGGAGATAGAAGGCTTGTGCTCGGGAAGGGACGTGGGTGAGCTCTAGAGTGAGCCACCCGCTTAAGTCTTTGTCCCGAGGGCTTTTTACTTGTTTTTGTGTGGGTGCGAGTCTTAGGGGAGGGTTTCAGCAGAAGGGTCATCAGCTTTCCGGGTGCATTTTTGATACCCCGAGGTGTCCAAACAAGCGCGTAGCGGGGTTTGGGAATAGTCTTTGGTCTGTTAACACTGTTTTACTTTTATCTCGGGTCTGTCTGGCTTTTAGTGGTGTTTTTGTTATTTGTTCCCCTGACTTCATCTGTCCTTGGGTGTAGCTGGCACAGATGGCATTAACTGGGTCTATGTTTTCTATTTGCCCAGACCAGGGTGAGTTAAGCTATGTATTCTCTCCAGTCAGGGAGGACCAGCTGGAGCCATTGGCCCTCGAGTGTCCTTGGTTAGGGAAGAGGAAGTCTTGTGATTCACAGCTGGCTGTGAGCTGCTCAGAATGATTGGCCGTGTTTATGTTTCTTGTCTCAGTTTCCCCGTTCCACGTGCCCAGGAATTTCCCTTGCTTCTTCCTGCCCTGCCTCACCAGTAGTCTCTCGTGTCATGACTAGCACTGTGCTCCTTTTCCTAAGGAAGTCAGGCTTCCAATTACACCTGCCGGCCCACGGTGAGACACCGGGGGGAACCGCCCCAGACAGGGAAGACCAGGTGTTTCCTTGGCTTGAAAGCGTCAGGGAGGGTGTTGCCCCACCACGGAGGGCGCTGAGTTGTGGTCCCAGTGCCTCCGCCTCCCGGATCTCCTGTCCTGATCTCACGAGCCTCCTCTGCCGCCCTCTAGGGAAGGACATCCCGGGACAGGCGTCGCTGGTGTTCGATGTTGCCCTGTTGGACCTTCACAACCCCAAGGACGGCATTTCCATCGAGAATAAGGTGGTGCCTGAAAACTGCGAGCGACGAAGCCAGAGCGGGGACTTCCTCCGGTATCACTACAACGGCACGCTGCTGGACGGCACCCTCTTTGATTCCAGGTGAGGGTCAGGAGCTGCAGACTGTCAGTGTAGATTTTACGTACTTGTAGAGAGAGAGGGAGAAAGAGAGGGAGAGAAACATCGATGCGTGAGAGATTCTATCATTTGCTTCTCGCAAGCCCCCGCCTGGGGACCTGGCCTGCAACCCAGGGATGTGCCCTGACTGGGAATCGAACCGGCCACCTTTCGGTTCACAGGCCAGTGCTCAATCCACCGAGCCACTCCCGCCAGGGCAGGTTTCTCTTTTCTGATACTGAATTCCTTCAGGGGCTGTTAGGACTGTCTCCTTGGGACCTGGGGGAGACGAATCTGAAGGAAAGCAGGAAGACCTCACCCTAGACACCCACTGTCCCTGTTTACCGTGCTCAGTTCCTCCAGCATGAACTCAGCGACGGGGCCCGGGGTGGGAAGTGGCCAGAGGGAGATCCCGGCGGTAGCAGGGGAAACAACAGACTTGGTGCCAGGAGATGTGGGTTCCAGGCCCTGGGCACCGTGCACTGGCTGTGTGTGATTTTGGGCAGCAGTTGAGCTGCCTGTGCTTCAGTTTCTTACCCGTTATTAGCACCTTCCTCGAAGAGAAGGTGTAAGAGATAAGGGAGCTAAAAGCGCTCCGCAGACTTTAAAGGACTTTTTTTTTTAATGCAGGGGACTGGTTGGATCTACTCACCTTCCTTCCTGCTGTGGGCAGGGCTAATGACGGAGCCTCCGTCGCTCTTCAGAGCTGTGTGTTGTTTACGAGGCTCGGCCTGCGGGGTGCGGAGGGCTGGGGCGCGCCTGGCGTCCGCTGTGTCTTGCTCCTTCAAATGGCATGTGTTGTTTGGAAACTGCTCCTCGAGGGCGAGGGCGAGCAAGTCGTGGCAGCCCGCTGCCTGCCTCTCTGAGGTGGTGGACTTCGAGCTTGTTTAGTTATCCAGAAACATCACCGAAGAGTTGTTATACGGTATTATTTTACATGAAGCTCAGAATTAAAGTATGCATTAAGATACCTTGTACCACCTGTCCCTGCCTCCCTCACATCCCCCGGAGCCACCACGAGCTAATCACTTTTTTTTTTAATCTTTTTTTTTTAATATTTTACTTATTTATTTATTTTTTAGAGAGGGAAGGGAGGGAGATAGAGAAACATCAATGTGCGGTTGCTGGGGGCCATGGCCCGCAACCGGGAATGTACCCTGGCTGGGAATCGAACCTGGGACACTTTGGTTCCCAGCCCGTGCTCAATCCACTGAGCTACGCCAGCCAGGGCTGAGCTAATCACTTTTATTAATAAGTTCCTTTTTGTTTTTTTTAGTGTGTGGATTTTTTTTCTAATGCGGATATAAGTAGATGCAAATGTTACGTTATGTTCTCACATTTATGGTATATAGCATGCAGAATATGGTACACGGTATTGTTAGCAGCACAATGGCACCAGAATGTTCCTGGCGGTTGGACCTGGGTTCAGCCACCTCCGTTGTTGAGTTCTGGAGCCAAGACTCAGATACAAGCAGAAGTTTATTTAGAAAGTCACAGAGGGAGGAGAAGTGAGCCGTGGAAGAAGTGAGCCAGCTGGGCTGTGTGGGATCAGGAAACGAGTTGCAGAGGCAAAGAAGGGCCCTTAGGAGACAGCAAAGATACACACCTTGCGGAAAGAAGAAGGGGGAAGGGTGCAGGCGTGCCCCGGGGAGAGTGCGCAGGGGACAGGAGGGGGCGGGGGAAGAAGCAGGTGTGCTCCAGAGAGAGGAAGAGCAAGCACTGGGTCCTCCATCCCGAGGGTTTTCATCCCCTCTCCAAAGCAGGAGATCTTAGGGGAGGTCTGGGGGGGGGGCGGGGGTGGTTGCCAAGAGAATATTCATCAGCACTTCCAGGTGTGTGCTCTCAGGCTCGTGGCCTCTCCTGATTGGTTGGCGCCAGGGCAGGGGTTTGTTAGTCATTGTATCTGGTCCTGATGTCGGCTGTGTGTTGCTCTGTCTGGTTTTGCTGCTTTTCTGGGCCTGGAGCTGAAAAACAACTGAGGCCTGGATGTCACCTCTAGTTTGACCAAAACTCGGGCTCTGTGGCCAACAGACCGGAGGCTTGGTTCCTAAGATTGTCTGATTCGGGTCAGAATCCCATCGTCCGGAGGGCTTAAAGCTTCAGGCAGTGGTCGTGCAGGGGCTTGTACGGGGGTCTCCGCCCCCTTGCTCCTCCTCTAAGGGGGTCTGCCACAGGACTAGTGACATGCCTCCCTGGGGGTGAGGCCCCACCCTACAATTGCCCACACTAGGCTCCCAGGGCCCTGGGGACTTTTGGTACCTCACCTCCTGTCCTTGCTTTCAGCTCGTGCCTAACTGCCCACCACAGTATGTCCACTGTGAAATCTTCTTGCTTTCTTTCACCTTGAGATTCTTCTGTGTTAATACTTAGAGAGAAATCATTTATTTCTTATGTCTGCCTGGTGTTTCATTGGGTGAATGTATCATATTTATTTAAGCATTTCTCTGCTGATGGCCAATTGAGTTCTTTTCTTTTACTATTGTAGTAATCCTCCAGTATGTGTGTGTATATTATTACTTGTCATATATGAGCTTGGTTCTGTCCTTTATTGCTTGGAATTCTATTTCAATTTAAAAGCCCTTTTTCTTGTAGATACGACATTCTTTCCATTCTAATGGAATCACAGTTTTCTCGGGTTTCAAACAGGTTTTCATTTAGTATGTCGGGATCCAGTCTGTACTAACAGCTAAATAATATTCCATTGGAGAGATTTGTCTTAATTTGGGTAATCAGTCCCTGTTGCTTTCTACCTTTTGACATTTTAGGTAGGGCCCAGTAATTACTTGTAGCTAAATCTTAAAGGATCTGATAAGTTATTTCCTTGGGATACGTATCTGGAGGAATCTCTGGTCTCCAGTGACGAGTGTTTTCACAGCTGTTGGAAAACACCACCCAGTTGTCCCTCAAGGAAAGTTCCATCAGCGAGAGTGCCCCGTTCCCTGCAAACTTGGGGATGCTGGGCGTCATTGTAAACTAATCTTTGACAATTTCTAGAAGAAAAATCCAACCTTAGAGCTGTAATCAGAATTTCTTTGATTGGTCTTGAGGTTGAAATTTTTTAAAATATTTATTCACTCTTTGGATGTCTTCTTTTGTGATTTACCTATTTATTTTTTTTGCCTGATTTTATGTTGAGGGTATTGGTATGTGCCTTTTTCTTATCGATTTGAAGACTCTATACTACAGGTATTAACCTTTTTATGGCTGTATGTATTGTTGAACATATTTTCTGTTTATTTGTATTTTAACTTTGGTTATTGTGATTTTTGACTTATTTGAATGTAAACTTTCTTCTGGTTAAATATATTCTACTTCTCTTTTTATGACTCCTTTATTCTTATATAAATTCTTATATATTCTGTCTTCGGTGACTTCCTAAGAAGTCTGTCTCCTCCTTTAGAGTATATAAATGTTCACTTGCATTTTTCTCATGTCCTTTTTTCTTCATTAAAATTTTTTTTAAAAAATTTATTGATTTTTTTTTTTTTTAGAGAGAGAGAGAAACACTGACCTATTATTCCACGTGTTCACAATTCATTGGTTGATACCTGATTGGGCCGTGCATGGGGATCGAACCCATAACCTTCGCTCTAACCAACGCTCTAACCAACTGAGCTACCCAGTCAGGGCTCTCATGCCCTTTTAATGGTTTTATTTTTTATCCTGTAAAATATTCTTTATTAAAAATTTAATTTTATAATGTATTATTTTCTTATTATTCAGGTGAAATAATGCAAAGATATATAGTTAAATATAATAATTTCCCATCAGCCCCTTCTATTCTCGCTACCCAGAATAAACACTAATAACCTTCCACAGTCTCTCTCCACGCTTATAAATGCTTTCATGTTTAAATCTTCAATCCATCTGGAATTTGTTGTGGTGTTCAGTTCGGATCTAACTATTTTTTTTCCAGATGGTGAGCTAGTGCTTCCAACACCCTTTATTGAATAATTCTGGTTTTTTCCTCACTCATCACAAATCTGACTTTTATTAGGCACGAAATGCTTAGGTACACTCTTGGGCCTTTGTCTGGAATTTCTGTCCCTCACCATTGGTCTGACTCTCCCTGGGCCAGTGTCACCCCTGTAACTGGTGTAGCCTTTTAGTTTGTATGATAGAGAGCGTTCTTTTCCTTTTTTACACATTATTATCTTCCGCTAAGTGACACATGGACACGGTTCCGAAACCCACAGAGTGTAAGAGGGTATGCCGTGAAGACTTGAACTCTGATTCTTGCTCCTCGGTCACCCCGCTCCCCTCTTGACAGGGAAGGAGTGTTATGAGCGTCACAGGTCTGCATGCACACGCCGTGAAAAACGTCCCCCATTTAAATTTTTACAGGGATGAGAGCTTGCCATATCCTGCACCCTCAAAACTGTGGCCTTGATTATTCCTTTTTCCAAGTGAATTTTAGGGCCCCTCGGCTCCCCCATACACCCACCACTCAGATTTTGACTGGAATTGTTTTCAAATTCGTGAATTAGTTTTGGGGAACATGGATAGCTTGACAAACCGCAGCTTTCTCATTGGGGAACAGGATGGTTTCCCATTTATCTCTGTCTTTTTTTAAAGTTATTTAAAGTTCTCTGCACATCAAGCCCGCCCTGCCCCTCCAGTCTCTTTCCTGCGTCTTGGCCTTGACCTGGCTGCTCCCCATCAGCCGGTCCCTGCATCCCCCAGTGTCCACCATCTCCCCCAAACCTATGGAACCTTTGCCGACTATTCCAATGGGTGGCTTTGCCCTGCTCTGAGGGACCTGCCATCTCTCCTGCCACCTGGCGCCCCTTTCCAAGGGGATCCCACCTCACAGGTAGCCTCCTCTGACCGGAACAGCTGGGGCTGAGCTGCTCATGGCTGAGGGTCACCAAACACCTGCTGGCGAGGCAGCCCCCTGGGGACGGCGGGGGGGGGGGGATGCAGAGAGCCCCCTCCTGGGGGAGGGGAATCGTCTGTCACAAATGTCTTCACGGCTGGGGCTCTGTGGTCTCCGAGGGGTGTGAGAAGGAAGGCCCCTCCCTGCCCTCCTGGCCCCCCCCCTGCCCCAGGCTGGCATCCTTCGGCTGTGTTCGGGGAGGTAACGTGGATCCGACCCGCTCTTTCAGGGCAGCCTTTTCACCACGGGGTGGAGGCTGGCACAGACCGCTGTGGCTCGGGGCTGGGGAGTCGACGTGGCAGATGAAGTTTCATCATTTATTGCGGAGTCATCCGTCTTTGGGAAGCTGCTTCTGCCCTCACCAAACTCATGATACTTGAACTCCCTTGGCAGTGGGCACGGAGGCTGGAATGCCTGGGTCCCCGCCAGCGGCGTGGGGAAACCCAGGTCCGCACCCGCAGGCAGCGCGGTGAGCCGGGGCAGAGCCGGGAGCTTTCCTGGGCTCTCCGAGCACCTGCTGCTTTTCGGGACTGGAATACTCGTGTGCCACCTGCACAGATATTCTCATCTTTCGATGCTGGAGACATTGTCCTTGGACACACTCTTAGTTTCTTTTTTTATTGATTGGTTTTAGAGAGAGGAAAGGAGAGACTGGAAGGGGGTGAGAGAGAGAGAGAGAGAGAAACATCAATTTGTTGTTCCCCTTATATTTTTTCTTTCTTTTTGATTGTTCCACTTATTTGTGCATTCCTTGGTTGTTTCTTGTGTGTGTCCTGACCAGGGATTGAACCTGCAGCCTTGGCGTATCGGGAAGATGAGCTCACTGAGCTCCCAGCCGGGGCCTACTTTTAGTTTCTGATAAGGGCTCCCCTTGATGCTATTTTCATGAACTGGACACAGTTGCCAAGTGTACCGTCCAGCTGGCATGAGCTACATTTGTATGGTTGCTCCTCATCACCCCATCCCATTCATAACCTGACCAGAGGGTTGGTGGGCTTGTTTCTGGGGGTGCTTTTGTAGATGGCCACCTCCACGCTGTGTGTGGACAGAGGGGCCTGTTTCCTGAGATTGTGAGGACACAGTCTAAGGGTTCCCTATGTCCCTGGGGCTGGTGGCTTCTGTATCCTGTTGCCTCACGGTGCTGACTAATGTCACAGCTGCTGTGGTGTTCCTTGTGCGGAACCTCTTTCTTTTCTTCTTTTCTAGCTACTCACGGAACCGCACCTTTGACACTTACATTGGCCAGGGCTACGTGATTGCTGGGATGGACGAAGGTTTACTTGGCGTTTGCATCGGAGAGAAGCGGAGGATTGTGATCCCCCCTCACCTGGGGTATGGGGAGGAAGGGAGAGGTGAGTGCCCGCTCCCTTCTCCAGGTCCCACAAAGCAGCACCGATGGCTGCTTGCGCCCCGGTTCCAAGCTTCCAGGGCTTCTTGAGCGAAATGTCAAAACTGAATCCATCTGGCTGGTGTGGCTCAGTGGACTGAGCGTTGGCCTGCAAACCAAAGGGTTGCTGGTTCCATTCCAAGTCAGGGCACATGCCTGGGTGGCCGGTCATGCCAGGTCCCCAGTAGGGGGCGTGTGAGAGCCAACTACACGTTGATGTTTCTCTTTTTCTTTTTCTCCCTTCCTTCCCCTCTCTAAAATAAATAAATAAAATCTTTAGAAAAAAAAGTAAATTCCAAGACACCCTTTTTGCTCTTTACCAGCTTTATTCGAGGTATAATGTATATACCATAAGACTCACCCATCTTAAGCATCCATTCGGAGACTGGTAGTAAAGGTAGTGAGTGAAGGCACCACTCCCTTAGTCCCGTTTCAGAACAGTTTTGTCACTCTCATCCCAAGCTCCCTTCGGAAATTACACAAATAATACACGTTGACTTTGGACACTACAGACCGAGAAAATGAAAATCGGCCCTAATTTCCCCACCCAGGAATACGCATTGTAACACGGTGGAGGAAGAGTGGCCCCGTAAGTCCGTGTCAGTCCCAGACCCTGTGAATATGTGACCTTTCATGCCAAGAGGGACTTGGCAGATGTGGGGAAGGTAAAGATCTTGAGATGGGGACGGGATCCTGGGTCACTCAGGTGCCCTTGGTGGCCTTATAGGAGTCTTTGTACGAGGGACACAGGAGGTCAGAGAGAGGAGGACTCGCTGAGCTGCTGTCTTGGGAGGTGGAAGAAGGGACCGCACGTCCAGGAAGGAGGGTGGCCTTGGGAAGCCGGACAAAGCAAGGACACAGGTCCTGCCTTGAAGCCTCCAGGAGGAACGCATCCCTGCCAGTACCTTGGAATTAGACTTCGGACCTTGAGTTAGGAGAATAAATCTGCACTGTTTTAAGCCACCAAGTTCGTCGTGAGTTGTCACAGCAGCGATAGCAAACTAATACAGCCGTGAAGTGCAGGCTGTTCTGCCCCTTGAGTGTCCGTGAATCTGCGTCGATGAAAGGAAGCACGTGTCCACCGATGCAGGTGCTGGCAACACGGGGCCCGTCTCTGCACGCGACTCTGTGATTTCTCTCGCCGCCTAATGAGCTGTGAACGGCTCTCTGTGCCGCCAGGCAGTTTTCATGGTTGCATAGTATTCCACAGCAGACTTCCTTTCTTAATTATGTTTCTTCTCACATGCCATTTTTTGGCTAGCTCGCTTAGGAATCGTTGATACAGCGTTTATTTTGCTCTTGTTCTCTTTTTGCTGATGGGATTCTGGCTGGCCTGGCAGGCTGTACACATTCCTTTTATTAACCTGGATTTTTGGAATTTCCCCAGTAGGGTATGTCCAGAGTATCTAAGAAAAAACAGGTTGGTTGTACCGTGGATAAATGTAATTTATCTCCTGACTTACACTTCTGATTTATAAAGCCACAGCTGACTGCAGCTTAAGACACATTCAACAGTCTTGCCTCAGGTCCAGTTTGTCTAGGGGCTTCATGCTCTGTTGTTTTGTAGCATATAAACTTCTACTTCTAGCCAAATGCATGCAGAAACAGAAAACGACTTTCCGAGTACTTGTGTTGTGTAATAATGCCCTCAGGACTAATCCTTCCTCTCTCGAAAAAGACTACATTGATGGAAAACATTTGCTGAAATGATTTTTCTCCTTTTGGCTTTCTATCAACTATGAGACAGAGCTCTGCAGAGAATTATATAAGGTTGTGGGAAGCATCAGAAGGCTCATAAATTTTCTGGGCAGGAGGCTGCTGCATCCCGCGTCATTTGTGGCCTCGGGGGAGGGGCACCCTGCCCTGTAACACCCAGGTGCTTTTGTGTGGGGTCCACCTCTGTCTTCCTGTGACTGGCGCTCATGCCCACTCAGTAGCGGGGTGTGGTAGGACCTACTGCTAACCCCAGAAGGGTGCTGGAGCACAGGGGAAGCACTCAGCGGCTGTCTGTGGGAGGAGGCAGTGCTGGGCCCTGCGCGGGGCTCTCGGCTCTCGGGCTCCGTTCTTGGCACTGTGCTCCCTCTCAGCCATTTTTCTCACCGGGCTGCCGCGGAGGCTAAGAGAGAACACGCATGGAAACTACTTCTGCAAGGGAAGGCGTGGTTCAGAGGTCATGTTTCCAGGTGGAGGCAACAGTGGAGGAGAAAAGCACCTCCATGGTTTTGTGTAGACCAGACAAATAGGATGGCTGCAAAGGCGCTTGGGGAACCTTGGGTGTTCTGTGTCATAAGGGGTGTGGGTGGGCAGTTTGGGCCGGGGGTCTTTCCCCACGAACTTTCCGTAGGTTTTCTCTCTCTTGCGCAGTGACTCTCACCCTCATCTCACCTCTCACTTCTGGGAGGAGCGGGGTGAGCCTTAATGTGGCTGAGCTCTAGTGTCCTCGTCTGCGGGGAACTTAGCCCTAAATCTTTCAGGCTCATTGGCTGCATGGGGCTGGAGCTCATCAGCTTGCATTGTAGTCCGAACGGTGCTCTTAACTGGCTGCGTGACCCTGGCCAAATCCGTGCCTCCGACTCCCCAGCTGTTAAGTGAGGGTTAGGTTACCTCCAACAGCCCTTGCAGCTTCATTCTTCCGGAATGCTGTAGGATTTCGTGTCTGAGTCCCCTGGGCTGAGTCCCCTCAGTGGACACCTGTGAGGACTCCTGCGAGGAGACGCGCGTCCCGCTGCTTGGAGCGTTCCCTCACTCATTTCCCGCGTGTGTCCTCCAGGGAATATCCCCGGCTCGGCCGTGCTGGTGTTCGACATCCACGTGATCGACTTCCACAACCCCTCAGACTCCATCAGCATCACCTCCCACTACAAGCCGCCCGACTGCTCCGTGCTGAGTAAGAAGGGGGACTACCTCAAGTACCACTACAACGCGTCGCTTCTGGACGGGACCCTGCTGGATTCCACGTAAGGGCGCCCCCCCCCGGGATTGAGGGGGGAGGTGAGCCCCCCCCCCCCGGATTGGGGGGCAACAGTCGTGCAGTCCCAGGATCCTCCTTTTCTTCTCATCAGATACTGGCTGAGAACCTCCGTCACTGTTCTGCCTGTGCCCGCCCCCCAGCCTTAACCGCCCCGCCCCCTTAGCCCCGCCCCCCCCCCCCCCCCGCCCCCAGTGCAAAGAGCTAAGCCTCCATCCCTGCTCAGGAGCATCATTGCGAGTTCCCCGTGAATGATCGCCTGCCTCCCCCCCCCGCCCCTCAGTTCCTGGGAAGTTGTCTTTCTGAGAAACAGCTCTCAAAGCTACTGTCTTTACTGCTTCTTTAAACATGAGCCTGCAGATGACTCCAGACTCGGAGCCGGGCACGTCACGCTGTCCTTTGTGCCCTGCCTTCTGCCCCACTCCTCTCCTCTTCTGCTGGGGCCGGCCTCCCCCTCCCGCCTCCCGCGCCCCTGCAGTGGGGCAGGATGCGGCTGCCTGTCCTTTCCTTCCGGTCAGCGTCTGCCCCGGCTCCCTCCCTCTCCTCAGAGCCTCTCCTGAGTCCTGGGGAAGAACCAGCTGCTCCCTCCTCTGCAGTCTCCTCGTGTCTTCTGCAGTGCCCCCCTTTTATCTTCGTGTCTGTCTCGGTGGCCGGTCTGAATACCCGAGGGACGCCCTCGGTATTTATTCGTGTTTTTCTTCCTCACACCTCGCCCAGAGCAAGTGTTTTGTAAACGTTAATCGATTGAGAGGACGCTGGAAAGACATTAGAGGAATCAACAGTCTACACTAGCATCAGGGGCGCTAAAGGAGCTGTGCTTCTTGTGCATCTGCGTCTTCAGATGTCTCTGCGAGTTAGTACAATATTCCTCTCTTTGGGAAAGAGACACTTTGAGCCTTTCTTTAGATCTCCATGTAAGTGCGTCCGTTTTTGCACTGAGTCTGGCTCAGGTTCCTGTTCGGTCCTGGGGAGAAGAAGGACTTCACATACACAGTGTGTGCTGCACTTATTCCAGATGCGGAGGGTCTTCCCTCCCTCCCCCAGGTCCCTCTGCCTCCTGGCTTCCCGTGACAGCGTGCGGCTGGGGAGAGCCAGGCCTGGAGGGCCAGCCCTGGGGACGCACCGTCCAGGCCTCTCTCTGCTGCTGGGAGACCCTGTGCACTCACGCAGTGGGCCTGTTTGATCGCATCCAAACCTGTTAATTATTATTAGCGGCAGCATCTGACGAATCTCTAAGAAAGTAAAAATGCTTCCAAGAAATTATGACATGCTGTCCCTTGTAGCATGTACCCCAATTACAGAGATGTTAAAATGTGAGAAAATATGCATCACAGAGTCAGTGAAACAGGGACTGGCTTCTGGGGCGAAGGCGTCCATGGACGCGGCCGAACAAGCCTCCTTGCCCCCGTGTCGGAGGCCTGCGGAGGGCCGTGGGGGGGGAAGACTGGCTCGTGGTTGTTTTAGGGCCTCAGTGAGTTCACGAGGTTAGAACGGTCTGCAAGGTCGAGGGCATAGGTCATTGTTCTTGCTAGTGTTCACATTTTCGCCTGGCCGTGGAAAGGGGGCGCAGGGGCGGGAACCGAGCAAAGGAATTCCGACTTGGTGTGTTCAGGATGTGCCTCTCTCTCGGGGTGGGGGTCATCGGCTTCCCAGCCTTCTCCTGTGTGTTCGGTGGGTCCACATTCTTCCAGAGCAGCTGGGAGCCACGTGACGCCCCCTCCTCTTACCTGAGACTCCATTCTGCATCTTGAGGGTCATTTGTGGGGACCACGCCCTTGCTGGACTCTTCCCGGCGTGAGCATCCTGGGGCGAAGGGCCGTGCGGCGGGCTTCTGCCCACCTGTGTGTTCTGGAAGGTGGGACCTGGTCGCACTCCAGCCCTGGGAGGACCCTACGAACAAAGGAGGCAGCCAGCTGCTGCTGGGAAGATAGAGGGAATGTTGGAGGGAAGCCAGAGAGGCCGGATGCAGGCAGGAGGCAGGAGGCAGAAGGCAGGAAGCCTTCCAGAAGCTGGGAATGCCCGGAAGGAATGAGAAGAATGTCTGAGAGACAGACTGGGGGCAAAGGAAGAAAAGAAGGGCCCCAGGGAAGAGAGTCAGTGTGGTTTTCAGACATGACACATGAAGACACGTCGCTTGCTTGGAGGGTTTTCTTAACGTGTGTTGAAACTGGCCTCGGGGAGAGGAAGAATGGAGATTGGTCATGCGATGCCTGAGTGCGTTCCTGAAACCCAGTCGTCCCCTGGGGGGTCCCGGGGGTCCCAGCAGAAAAGCAGTGTGAAGGCGCCTGTGTGCCAGGGACAAAGGAGGGATTGTGTGGGCAGCGGCTGCGCAGGGGCCGCTCCCCCCGGGCTGCGGGCTGCGGGCTGAGGCATCCTGTAGCAGTTGGTTTTCTTTCTGTTTTGTCCCAGGTAGGACAAATGCAAACCCTGTTTGGGTTTCCCAGCCCCAGAGGACCCACCGGGCCCTGGGAACCCGCTGGAGGAGGGAAGGAGCTGGCAGCCCTGTGCCGTGGGGAGGGTAGGAAAGCAGAGGAGGGGATATGACCCAAAGGGGCTGACCCCTCCGTGTTGTCCCGACCTGGTGAGGGGCGCCAAGGGGCCTCTAGGACACTGGGAGGCTCTCTCTCCTCCTTGGCAGTGAAGAGCATTCACAGGAAGTGACGGGAAGGCCATAGGTTTGGAAACACATTTATTTTCAGCAGTGATGGGGGTGAGAGAGCCCCGGGACCGTGGCCGTCAGTGATGGTGAAGACCACGGTTCAAGTGAAACTCTGTGTTATTTTTCTGCAAAGACTGTTACAGACCCAGGCACCCAACACCCCCGAGGCCACCTGTCAGTGGAGTCTTGTGCACTTCCTCTCCGCCCAGCCAAGTGCAGTGTGTCACCTCCTGTTTAGAGCGTTCCTGTTCCCGTGTGACAGCTCTCCTTGTCTCCGTCCTGCAGAGGAGGAAACTGAGGCCACGCCTCCCAGGGTCGGATTACCGGGCCCAACCAGGATTCACACGCAGGCCTCGCTGACTCTGCAACCCAGGGTGTAACTGCATTTTCTGTTTATAACATTCCCATGGAAATGTCTGACGAGACTATTGACTAAGACCTAAAAAAGGAATTGTAAGAGCAGTACAAGGAGCTTTGTCCCCGCTGAACCATTGGAGAGTCAGTTGTCCCCACACTGTCCTGTCACCGCTGAGCGCTTTTGTGGGCTGTTCCCCAGCGCCAGGGCCCTTCTCCTGCGTAACTCAACCCCGGCATTAAAATCAGGAAGGCAGCATCGATCTGTCGCTACCTTTTCGTTTTCAGACACCACTTCGGTTCGGCTGAATGTTCCCAGAAGGTCTTCATTCGCCAGAGGACCCCACTCCCATATGTTCTAACACTGAACCGTGCCTCTGTCTTCCTCTGGTTTTCCCCTGGACGCTTTAGAAGATGGTCGGTGTTTTGCTGTTGTTTTTTGCAAAGTGTCCCCCGTGTGGGTTTGTCTGTTGCCTCGTGACCCGAGAGGGGCCCTGTGTCTCCGCCAGCGACGTGCCGTGCCGGAGAAGCGGATGACCTACCTAACCAGGGACTCTCCTCTTCCTCTTTCAGGTGGGATTTAGGCAAGACGTACAACATCGTCCTGGGGTCCGGACAGGTCGTGCTGGGCATGGACATGGGTCTCCGGGAGATGTGCGTCGGAGAGAAGCGGACGGTGGTCGTCCCGCCCCACCTGGGCTACGGGGAGGCTGGCGTCGGTACGTGGTGGCGTGAAGGGGTGTTTGGGGCACGTTCCTCCGAAGTCTGTGTTTTTGGGGTGCCATATTTAGAATCACGATATGCTTCTTCCATTTTTTAAAATGTTTTTTTATTTTTATTTTTCAATTACAGTTTACTTTCAATATTAGTTTGCATTGGTTTCAGGAATACAGCGCAGTGGTTAGACCACAATGTGGAATCACATACGTGACGAAGACTCCCCCCTCGAGACTCCCAGGGCCCACCTGGCACCATGCATAGTTACGGCGATATTATCGACTACGGTCCCTGTGCTGGACTTAATCCCCGTGACTCTTCGGTGACAGCCGGTCTGTCCTTCTCCGTCCCTTCACCTTTGTCGCCCAGGTGCCCTGCCCTGCTTCTTCCCTTTTGAGCCCCAAGAATCTGTTGGGTTTTTTAAAAAGCATTGAGCATTTTTGTATAAAGACCCCTGTGATTTCAGTGTTGGTGCCACGCTAATGCCCCACGCCCTCTTGAGAAAGTGGGGTTTCTATGAAATGAACTTGGACCTTCGAGCCCGCGTGTGGGAAACGTCCCTGCAGGAGCTGACAGGCAGCGTCTCGTAGGCGGGGCGAGGCCAGGCGCTCCCTTCGGGCCTGTGTCCGGGGACAGCGGAAGGCTACCGCCCTCTGCTTTTCACTTGTCCGGGTTTATCTGTCCAAGGAGGTTTCCTTCCATGAAAGATGAATCCACGTTCTGGAAGTGCTGGCTTTATCTCGCTCGCCCTCACAGCTGTCAGGGTTCATGTACTTGACGGTTTTGGCCAGAGTGAGTCCCCAGGGAGGACTTGGGAACCACCCTCTCTTCCGGTGTGTGAATGCTCCTGCTGTCCGGAGGGGAAGGGGGAGGCGGCGGGGAGTGCTAACTCGTAAAAGTGATGGGCGTTTTGGACTGATTTTCTGTTTTCAACAATTGTTAAATAACTGTAAAAATACTCCCTGCCACTCCTTCCCAATCCAAAAAGAAACAAAAAAATATGTTGTGTATCTTACAATACAGTACTCCTGTGATTATATACTAAATAATTATAACATAATCTGTAGTAACAATTTTAGGTAATACAGATTATATTTGTATGTATAGTCACATACTTATATAACTTCTTTTGGGTCCATGCTACATACAAGGTCCATCCAGAAAGTATCCAGCCATGCACTATGAAAAATAGAGACATTTACTGAAGAAGATACAAGAAACATTGTACATAGGACAGTGACCCCTCAGTCCCCTTCGAAGTAGGCACCTTGGGACCTCACACAGTTCTCCCAATCACTATCAGCTGCCCCTTCCTAATTTCCTGAATCTGATTAATGGTCTGAAATCTCTTCCCTCTCAAAGGTGATGTTAGTTTTGGGAAAAGCCAGAAATTGCAGGGCATTAAATCTGGGCTGTAGCAGGGTGGGGCTGAGTCACCTGGGTGACTTGATGTTTTGCAAAACAACTGCACGAGACGTGATGCACGAGTCGTTCATTGTAGCGATGAAGCTGCCAAACACTAGTTGCCCATAACTGAAGCCTTCTGAATCACCTGAATAGTTTCCACAGAGGAATGGTCAAGCTTAATGCAAAATTTGGTGCAGATTCATTACTGTACTTGCTCAGTCATTTTGAAGGCAATGGCCACACAGTACACACGCTCATTCAATGGCATCTGCTTCCCCTACTGACTAGTACAGTGAAGTTGTCATTGTTCACGCATGCGCATTCCAGTCCACTCTCCTTGTCTGCCAGGTTACATCAATGTTGCAAAAGCCATTCTCGTTATATTAACAACGGCTGGATTTTTCCTGGACAGACCTCATATACTGTTTTTGACTTTGTGTTTACAGTCCTATCTTGGATCATGATTTTAAGGCATACTCTATTATTCTTACAGTTCTGCTGTTAGATTTATTCAAAAGTTCCTCCATTGGAGTCTCTACTAGTTAGTGGCTTTCAAACATTTTTCGCCAAGATACACAGTAAGAAATACGTGTATCTCCTAATCTCTGTTACAAATAAATATGTACACGTACACTTAGTTTCATATATTAAGCTGAAACTCACGTTTCATAAAATGTTACTTAACCTTTCTATGTGCAAGGTACCTGGATCTGCTTCGTTCTGTTCCTTCGTTTAAACAAAAGATGCAGATCACCACCCTCTCAAATCACTTGGTGACTGCCTCGTAGTCACTACCTGTGGTTTGGAGAAACCAGGTGCTGATGCTGAATGTTCTCGCCTGCCCCGCGGCAGCGAGAGCCCAGGGGGAGGAGGGAAGTGGAGGGGGCCTGTCGGCTGCCGAGGGGCGCTGACCCGCCCCCTCCCTGTCGCCGAGGCAGCTGGAGAGGTGCCGGGCAGTGCCGTGTTGGTGTTCGACATCGAGCTGCTGGAGCTGGTGGCCGGCCTGCCCGAGGGGTACATGTTCATCTGGAACGGCGAGGTGTCCCCGAACCTCTTCGAGGAAATCGACAGGGATGGCAACGGAGAAGTCCTGCTGGAAGAGGTAACCGACCTTTGAAGGCGAGTGGGACTGAAGGAGCTCATGGGGCCTGACCGGGCCGGGGGACCCATTCCGAAGGGGAAGTCTTCTCCGGGTGCGGGGACACCTGTGTTTGTTTCCTGTGGTGACCCTGACCTGCACACTCATGTGTGCCCTGCACTGTCCCGTGTGCTCTCTAAGGTGAGGCTCTTTGAGGAAACTGAGGCCCCGAGAGGTACAGGCATGGATTCAGGGCTCACAGATCTGGATGGGTTCCCAGTTCCGGGGGGCCCACGCACACCTGCCCTGGGCTAAGTGTGCTTCACACACGTTATTTTGGTTGGCCCTCTGGAATCGTCCCTATCTTCTCAGAAGAAGCCACTATGCCCAAGCTCACACGGCTCCCCGTGGTTGGAGCCAGGACCCACAGGCCTGTTTGAGCTTCCGGATCCTGTGTTGTTTCTCCCGTATTGGATGCCCCTGTGTGGACCTGTCACAGCCCTGGGGAGTCCAGCTGTCATCCTTTCCCTGCCTGCTTGCCCAAGGACATCGCTCCAGCTTTCTCCCATTTCTCGCACGTTGTCCGCACGTCCCCAGCTGCTGGCCTGCTCGCATTGGCGCTGAACCTGGCCTTGCGAGGGGACCAGTGCCCCTCCCATTGCTGGGTCAAGTAGTCGGTCCTCCCTGTCTGACTCCTTTGCATGACGCCGTCTTTCCCCAGCTCCCAGACACCGCCACTTTCTTAGTGTTCCTTCCGTCGCACCGGTAGCTCCTCAGGAGTCTGTTCTCTGATCTAAAATGGGAGTGGGATCATGGCCCGCTGCAACTCAGAATGCTGTGGCAGCCCCCTCCCCACTTCCCAGGTCCTTACCGTGGCCGGTAAGGGTCCTACAGTGGCCGGTAAAGGCCCTGCAGAGGCCTCCCACAGCCTGCTCTCTGTGGCCTCCCCGCCCGCTGCTCTCCTCCTGCCGGCCTGTGAACGCGCCCGGCACGCAGGCACCAGCCTCCGCACCAGCTCCGCGCTCTGCTCCGGACACTCCTGCCCTAGATAACTGGCTCCTTCCCTCACTTCCTTCACCCCTTTTCCCAGGTCTTCCTTCTCCACTGGGTCTCACCCTGACCACCGAGTTGATGCTTTGACCCCCTCGTCCCCTTGTACTTTTGATCTTCCCTACTTGGCTCTGCTTTTTTGTTTTTCTAGAGCATTTTACTTTGCAGCTTAACATGTAACTTGGTGGTGGTACTCATTCTGAATGTGTGTCTTTCCTACGAGAATATGCTAGAATGACTAGGGCAGGACGTACCTCCAGGATGCTGCTCCGCATACAGCAGACGATGGGTTTCTCTTGTGGGAACGAACGGATGTGGGCAGCAGGGTTCTCCCAGGCTGGGTGGCGGGGGGCCAGCCCTGGGGAAGAACTGGGGGCGGGGGGTTGATGTGGGGAGACGGGACGGCTCCAGGAGCCACACCGCGCGTTGCCTGCCTGGACGTTGGGGGATTTTGACCTGCACCTGGCGAACAAGCCAGGCTGCGGAGCTGCCACGATTCTTCTCTCTGCTTCGCCGGCTCAGAGGCGGGTTCCGTCCTGTTCGGGCGGGGCTCGGCGCCCTCGGCTGCTCTGTCTCAGGGTCTGTGTGTCCTGTCCCCTTTCCAGTTCTCGGAGTACATCCATGCCCAGGTGGCCTCTGGCAAAGGGAAACTCGCTCCTGGTTTTGACACCGAGATGATTGTGAAGAATATGTTCACCAACCAGGACCGGAATGGCGATGGCAAGGTCACGGCGGAGGAATTTAAACTCAAAGACCAGGAGGCCAAACACGACGAACTCTAACCCAGATACAAGCCACCATGTGACACCAAGGGCCCCGTCACGACACGGCGTGCCGTGAGGGCGTGAGGGTCTCTCAGCAGGTGAATTGTCAGCAAGCGGTCGTGGGTCCCACATCAGGGGTGCGTCGATGCACGTGCTGAGAATTTTAGGCTGAATGCCGGTGATATTAGACAAAATTGGGGCGCAGTGCCTTAGCATGGGCTGTGTAGGACATGGAAAAGGCTGTCCTGCCAACCGTTGTGTGTGGGTCTCCTGGGTAGTTTTGTTGGTAAAGGAAAATAGTGTCACACAGAAGTTACAGCCATCTTGGAGGGAACAGAAGAAAAAGGGTCCAGGATATCTATGTAAAGAGGATGAAGAAAAAATTTTTTAACTTGCTGGTATTTTGCAAGCGTTGCCCAGATGGGCAGAAAAAAAATAAAGGGCGTGTCCCAGCAGGGTTCCCAGAAAGCCCCAGAAAACTCAGCAGCCTGTACAGCCTTCTGGTGAGGCCCAACCTCCACCTCCCCCCGACACACACACACACACACACACACACACACACACACTCTTCTAGTTATTCACGCCCCTCGCCATTGCGGTCCTCTGACTGGCTGGGTAACTTGGGTATCAGTGGGCCACACTAAAGGCATCTAGGACCACGGGTAGAGAACTTGATTCTGCGTCTGCCACGTGGGGTTCCCTGCGTCCCTCTTTCTTGTCCCCATCGCTCTGTCCCGTAGTGCACTGAACCCTTTGGTCATCAGTCAGAGACGCCCCGGGCTGCTGGCCAAGCCGAGCTCCACAGTATGTCACTGTGGCCGAGGTGGGTGTGTCTTCCCAACAGGTGAGCTTGAACAAGGTGACATACTTCTACTCATCTGTGTCCTGGACAGAGAGGTGCCCTAAAGCCGGGGCCTCACTCTGCAGAGGAAGGCGAGGACACCACACTGGCCGGCCTGGCCCCCCGTTTCGCGGTAACCACCCTGTGTCCTCTGTTCCCAACTGGTGGTGGCTCTCACCCTGAAGTCACGCAGGATTTCCCTTCTGAAACTGCCTTGTTTTACTAATTTAAACGGTTTTGTACTGACGTAGCTCTGAGGTAGTCCGTGAAAACACCAAGCACTTGTTCAGCTGAATGTTGGAAAACTGACCTTTTCCGTGTATAAAATGTTGAAGTCTCTTGTCCGGCTCTGTGGTGGCTTATTTGAATGAAGGCTGAGAGGACCCCGTGGGAACGAACCGTGCAGTCAGACAACAACCCAGTGGGACTGTGCCGGTGGAACTGGGAGAGCGCCGAACAGTATAGAGTAGGGGGTGAAGGGCCCGGGTCCCTGCAGGAGGCACCCTCCTAGGGACTTCTGCAGAGCGGCTAACGCGAGGGCTGTTGCAGAGGCGTGGACAGGACTCGGGGACCCAGGACAGCCGGTGGCCAGCAACCCCGGGAGGCAGTTACCACCTGGGTGTGGAGGGTCGCGGGAGCCCAGGCAGGGCCGTGTGGTGGGAGCAGTGGAGGGCCTGAGCCGCTCCCGGCACTGGGTCTGCTGCGGCAGCAGAGACGTGTGTCCACCCCTGCCACGGCCCAGGAGCTGAAACCAGCTGGCACCAGGAGGGAAGGGAGCGGAGGGGCTGGTGGTGGAGGTCAGAGAAAGGTGGAGGACGAGTCAGGGAGGGTCAGGGCGGGAGCAAACGGAGAGTAACATGGCACAAGGGTGTGGGGAACTATTAATATATGTATGTACGTACTCAGGTTTTTAAAAAGCAAATGTTAATTGTTTACTTTTTTGCAGAAGCCACCTCAGGGGCTCGGGGTGCTTTTGGGAAGGGAGACGCCCAGGCTTTCTGCCTGCTGCTGCCAGGGTCACTGATGCTCCTTACCCCTCCCCCAGCGGGTGCAGCCTGTCACTCAGTTTCACTGCACAGGGGTCCTCCCTCCCGTGCCCGGCAGGCCGATGACCGTGCTCCGTGGAACTGCCCTCGGAGCGCTCAGGCCTGTCACCCTGCACCACCCTCATGTATCTGCGCAGGGAAAAAGCCTTGTGCTTATCCTCTACCCCAGTTTTTAGCTGGTCCTGCTTGCATGTCTTCACTGGGGGACACGGGCTGGGGGAATAAAGTTAAGCTGCTCTGGAGGACTTAGGGACTGTGAGCCGTGCAGCTTCAAGAAGAGACGGACCTTCTAGCATGTCTTTGTTTGTAAACTCTGCCTGCCTGCCTGTAGGCCCCTTGTTATTTGTGTTCTCTTCAAAATACTTGTCTTAGGTATAACAGCTTCTTTTTTCCTCCTGAGCCATCCACTAGGATGGAGGAAGGTGCAGGAGGGCAGGAAGCAAGTCTCATTGGTTAACGACTTTCTCTAGAACCCCATTCACAGTAAGGACTTCCCTGTTCACTACTCATTCAATCCTCACCTCCAGAGCTAATACCTGACTTTACAGATGAGGAAACCAAAGCTTAGAAAAGTTAAGAAACTTGCTCCACATCATAGGATCAAAGACTCAGATCCAAGTTTAACTGATTTCAAAGCTTGTGTCCCTTACAACTCAGGCGTGTTGTGATCAGTTTTGTGCTGAAGTATGAGACTAAGTACAGAATTTAGCGTGATGGTTGAATTCCCAGTAACCTTGAGAGGTGTCAGGATTAGTCATTCAAGGTCACATGCATCTTCCTTTCTGATTCTCTGTAGTGTATACCAGAGAAAACCCTGAACCTGAACTCTGGATGGAAGAAGTGCCAGCGTTCTAATCTGCCTGATCAACACTGGTATCTGTTACAGCAGGGGACGGTGATATCTTAGGAAATCTCTCTGGAATGAGCTAGTACCGCTGACAGGTTTTTTTTTTTTTCTTCCAGTTTCATCAAAATTGTTCATCTTAGCACCAAAAACTGCCTTGCCTCATAAAGTAAAACTTGAAATTCTTTAGAGATGTGGCAGTTACTGTACACTACCAATGATCAGTAGGGCTGCAAAAGGTATTTTTGTTTTATCAATTCACCCAGACTACGCTGGGGGATATAACAGCTTACACTTTCGTGGGTGGATAACCTAACAATATTGAGTAGTTGTGCTAAGCTATTCTGAATGCAAATACAAGTTTTAAATGCACACACAGATGTCACAGGAAACGATCCACTTCTCTCCAGCTCCCCCGCCCCAGGGCACAGCTCTCCCTCGCCCATCTAGAGCCTGCATCATCACCCTGGCGCACAGGTGAGCAGACTGAGACGCAGCTTAAACAGCTCGTCCTGGTCTCACACGGAGGGGTAGGAGGAGGAGCCAAATCCAGGCTCTGTGGCCCCTTTCCTCCTGGCTGCCTCCCACGGCTCTGAAAGCCGAAGTTGGAACCAAGTATTTTCAACGTCAGTAGCAGCAGGGGCAGCAAGCTGTGATAGGGTCAGAGGCACAGAGCGGAAGAGGCAGGGGCCTTGGCTTGGTCATCAGGGTTCTGTGGACGTGGCTAGAAGGGCTGTGGAGACTGTGCCTTCATTTTATAGGGAGGTGACTGACCTACAGTCTTGGTAAAGGACTGATGCATGACTTGAATGCAGGTCACAATTGCAGTGTTCTTGACACTGACACTGCAATATGCTTTTTTGTGGAAGCATCCTATAAACTCCTTTGGAAAACAGCCAGGGGGGCAAGCAAGCTCCAACAGAAATATAGGGGTAAAAAGCTATCATGAGATAAGAGACTCCCAATTTTGTTCGGCGTGAAAAAGTCCTCCAGGTAATCCTGACACTCCCGTGCATGCTGTCTGCTTTCATTCAGGACCCTGGTTTGGGGTTTGATTTTGGAAATATCTAAGCAGGGAACAGTCTGCTTTTCACCAGCCCTCACTTGCACTGTTGACTGTAGCAACCACGAGAAGTAGTGCTGGAGGGTCGGGACGGGCTGCCTCAGGACAAAGGTTTGCATCTCTGAGATCTTGCTTCCCTGCCTCCTGATTGGGCTACAGATGGTAACCACACCAGGTGTCCAGAACCAGCTGGGTCGTGCTTTGTGCATATCAGCTCAGCTGTTTTAAGAAAACCAATTAGCTGCTCATTGGCACAGGAGTTACAGGGTTGGAATCAGGGTCGGAGTCATCACAACGGCAAGTCTAAGCCATTTATGAGGCAGCAGAAATTTGTGGCAGGAAGTAAGACTACGGAGGGCAATGATGGTTCCTGACTCCGCAGTATGACACCCAGCTACGCTTTGTTTCCCGACAGCCTCTATGCCACGGAGTCATAGGTCACACACACACAAGCCGAACCTGGCGGGTGCTTAATAAATATTTGTTGAATGAATGAAGAATAACAGTTATGCTGTAGAATTTAAAAGGCTTTTCAAGTTTATTTTCAGTGCATCAATATACAACATATTATAATTAGTGGTATGTGGATTTCAAGTTTTTTCAAACACCAAGTGCTAGTATGTTCGGGTAAATTTCAATTTTCCCAGAACAAAATAACAAAACACAATTTCAGGAGATGGTGATCGGCATAATTCACTCAAAATACAAAAATGGCAGTACTTAAAACCACACATGTAAAAAACTCCAAAACTTCAATGATAACATTCAACTACAAAAGTCACTCTGGAAATGCAGGGAGTTACTTTTCCAATTTTGACGTAGAGGTATTTTAATGTTAAAAACATGGTGAGGAGTGTTTTGGGAGATGTGGAGGAAAAGGAACTGCTGGTTGACGGATTCAACATGTCTGAAAATACTTCAAGAGCAAGGATGTGTCATAAATAAAAGTCTTTCCGCGAGACGAACACACGAGCAGTCCTTGCGCCGGCTGCGCCCGCGCGAGAGACGCCCTCTCGGAGGCTGTTATTTATACAGAATCTTCTGTAGGATGGAGTTGGCTAGCTCCAGGGACTCCTCTTTTACTAGAACAATGTCGTAAGAGTCCATGTAGTTGTCTAGAAGCTCATCCACCTGATCAACGACAGCAAAAAGCCATTTGGATTAATACACAGGAAGAAGCAAATCATTCCAGTACGAACCTCATCATTTTGTCTTAGATCTGCTGGGCAGCATGTGGTAAATTAAAGTCACTTTCTTAAAACGTCTGAAATGAAGCAATACTTTTAAGTATTCTGAGTTTTAAGGCTCACAGAGAAACTTTCCCCGTGGGGGCTTTTCTCCCCAGAGGAAATCTCTCTGGTCTGGCGGTTTCCCAGCGGGGACACAGTGCCCAAGGGACCCTGGGCGGCGTCCGAAGTTCTGACTCTCACGATGAGGGAATGCCACTGGCGTCCCGCAGGGAGAGGCCAGCGAGGCCTTTCACGTGCACACCCTCCCCCGCCCACACCTGTGAGCGTGCGCCCGTGCATCCCAACCCCCTCACTCATCGCCGAAGGAAAGCGGGGAGGAGCATGCCCGATGGCTCCAAAGGAACTGCTTTCTCAAGGACCTGATGGAAACAATCGCCTATCAAGTTTCACTCTGGTTGCTTCTTAGAAGGAAATTAGGTGACAGATTTGTATACTCACTCTATCATTTAGATACCCAATTTTCAGGATGTGTTCAACATTGGCTACTCCGTCCGCCATTCGCAAGTCGCCCTGGGAGTCTCCCAGCAGAATTATGTTGCTGTTGTCTTTCAGTTGGCTGAAGTATTTTGAGTTCTTCAAGGCACCGTCATGTTTGTTAAACACGTGAATTAGATCTCCTTTAAATCCTTTGAGCACCCCCTATTAACGACATATAACTGCTTTGAAGTAACAGGTTTTGCAAATTTTATTTGCTGTAGTTTCATACTTACAATAGATAAGTACTCTGAGAATTAACTTTCCAGAGACTTTAAATGGTGAACACAAGTTGAAAGTCCAATTTTTACTTTTCATTTGGTTCCTAACCAAAAGGTCCTGTTTTATGTATCATATATTGTCTTCATTAGAAGAACTTGTTCAAATGACATCAATTCTAATTCATTCCCCACCCACCCACCCACCCACAGATGTTAATTCCTTAGCGTTGTTGTATTAAGTTGCATTTTAAAAAGTTTTACTAATTGTTATATTAGTCTATAGCTTGGGAAGCAAAAGTGTAAGGAGTTAATTTTAAAATATGGATGTGGGGGAGGTGGGATGGGAGAAGGGGGAAGGGTTTTCAGGAACAGGTATAAAGGACACATGGACAAAACCAGAGGGGGTGGGATCGAGGGTGGCAAGTGAGGATGGCTGGGGTG